CATTCAGACCACCCTTTTTGCTTTAATTTATTCAGATCTATGGACCTCTTGATTCCATCATTCACTGGTTTTCGTTATTATTTATTATTCATGGATGATTACTCTCTTTTTGTTGGGTATTTCCACTACGTAGGAAAGCTAAAGCCCTTGCCAAGTTTAAAATGTTTCATGCATTTATTTACACAATTTATTGTCTCATTCCAGAGTTTTCAATGTGATAATGAGTGTGAATATGTTAATAATTCCTTCAAATCTTTTCTTCATTCCTGCAGAATACATTTGCAGTTGGCTTATTCCCACACTCATCAGAAAAAGAGCATATGCATATGCATTGTACCATCATTAATATCGTTCGCACTCCATTGTTTCAAGCGTCTCTCGCTCCTAATTTTTGGATGGAAGCACTTCATACATCTATTCATACTTTGAATACCCTTCGTAAGTCCTCTCTACAAAATTTCTCTTCTTTCCAACTTCATTTTGGCCACTCACCATCTACAATTCCCTTCAAATTTTTGGATGTGCTTGCTATACAAATATTACCTCCACCACCGCAAATAAACAAAGGGGTTGTTTGGATTTCTAGGTTAAATTGGATAGGATTTGAATTTTTTTTTCTACCCAATCCAAGTCAGTCAACCGGATTGGCAAGAAAATAAATTGAATCCTTTCCAATTTCAAGTTTAGGAGGTGAAATTAAAATTTTGTGGGTCCCACGAATTTGAAGCTTTTTCTATTATATTTTTACCATTGTCCCCTTTAAGCAATTAAGTTTTTTCTACCAGAATAATCAGATTTCTTTCATTCGAAAAAAAAAATAATTTGCAATCAGTTATTTCTAAATAACTTGCCCCAAAAAAATCTCAATAGTTTTCATAATTTATGATTCAAGCTATTACAACTTGTCTATTTACATTCTTTGATTATCTTTGTATAATCAATGGAATTACTAACTTCAAAAACCCATTTAAGAGCACATTTATTTGTTCATAGAAAACAAATTTGCCTAATGAATCCAAATACAAATGAGTATATTTATTATGTTCAAAGAAATTCATATATAGTTTCAAACCAAGATCAAAGGCATCAGGCATAACTTGTCAAGTAAGCTAAAGAGCAAAAAAAAAAAAAACAAGAATAAGATGTTTGAGAAGCATGGTCATCGGCGCCATAGAAGAGTTTGGATTCTGATATGTTGTCGGTGTTAAAGATGTAGATCTATGTTTAAACACCCTTCCTTGGTGGCGTGGGCTAGTGGTGGCTAATGGCATGGGTTGGCTTTGGCTAGTGTCATGAGCTAGTAACGTGGGTTGGCGGTGTCTGGGCTGGCAATGACTGGTGGCCTGGCTCATGGTAGCTGCTCTTGTGAAACGGCGAGACAAAAGGTGCGAAAGTGAGGTTGAAGGAGATCACATGATAAAAATGAAAACCCTAGTCTTCAAATTTTTGGGGGCAAAATCATAATAACTTGACCTATCCCATTTGAGAAAAAATTTAACCCACCCTCCTAGTAGCTTACAAATAACCCAAACACATGGGATAGAAGTTACTGTAGACACTGGGCTCATTTGGTTGTTGTATTAAAATTGGATGGATTAGATAAAATAATACGGTCTAATACAATACAGATGGATTAAAGACAAAATTAAATATGGTATTAGAATAATACGTAATTTTATCTAATGTTTGACAATACACAATATACGCGTTGGATAATAGTTATTTAATCCAATGAGTTGTTTGGTTAGAGAGTTATTTCATCGTATTAATGTTGAATTAACAAAAATACCCTCAATCAGTGTTTGTTACATTAATGACAACTTTAATTTATCACTTGGAGGGTTATAATAGTAAATGTGTGGAATAATACGTTTGAGTTGGATTATAATACCACCTCTTTTGGTGGTATTAAAAAACTTCCATAATACAAGCCTACCGTATAAAAAATATACGATAAGTATACGTTTTTGAAATTAATACAGTATTAAATTTACTTATCAAATAAAGTATTAGGCCTGATTAAATAAAAAATAGTACAATTTAATAATTAATTCCCTCATAATACATCTACCAAACAAGCCTACTGGGTTTGGGATAGATAGGAATGGGATTTTGAAATGGGATAAATGGAACCCACTTTATTTTTGTCCAATCCAACATGTGTTTAACCTCCTATATCCCACCATCCAAACATCCCAAGGGGCTGTTTGGTATGTGGGTTTGGGGGGTTTTGAGACATGGGTTGGGGACTAAATCCCCTTAAACCCATGTTTGGTAACTATCCATTTAACCTAGGTTTTGAAATCTGGCCCACTTATGGCCCGGTCATGAAACCTATGTTCATGGGTTTCATATGTTGGTTTGGGGGTTTCACATTCAAATGACATTTATACCGCCCATATATCCATACTCGTGTTTGGATTAAATTGGTTAAGAGGCATAATAGTTATTTATATATAAATATATTATCATAATAGTCATATATCCTTGCCTATACCAAATATGAGTATGGACAACATTAAATGTTGAACCTCATCTTTAAATCTATCTTCAGATCAAACTCGAATTTAAACAAATCAATCCAAACTCTTCCCAAAAAACATACCAAACAAGCCAAAGGGTGCACAGGTGTTTTGATCCCAAATGTAGTTTCACGTCATGTTCAATGAGGGACAATTCACTTATCCTCATCTTAACGTAACTTCTTTTCAGTTGGACTCTTTCCCTTTTAATTTCCGTCAACCCACATACCTCTTTTCTCTCACACAGGTCAGTTCAGTTTTGTTTCCTTCATCCGAAATCCCAAACTCACATAACCTAGATCTTGTCTTATCCCCCAAATCTCATACCAGTCATCACCCGCTGTTTTCGTCTCATCCACGCATTCAACAAAACTGATCTTCTTTAGCGGTTTCTCCAGTTTTCTCTCCGTCTCAATCATCATCTTATACTTCTTCGGAGTTACTCAGTAATCCAAAATCTTCTCAACCCTTATCCTCGCTTTCAGATAGTTCAAAATCTTTTCCTCATTAATCAAATCCTTTGGCCTTCTACAAATTGGAATCTTCCTTTTGTTAATCACCCGCTTCACCTCAATCTCTCTGGATAACTCCCAATCTTTCTTCTTCTAATCTTCCAATGACATCCTAGATACTCTCTATCCTCCTAACACATTGGCATTAGCTCTAGCCTTGTCAACTTACCCAATGGTCACTTGCACCAAAGATGGTACCCATCGGCCCCATATCTGACCCTCTTGGTTTCATTCCTGTGATTCTTCCCCAATTCCATCTGAACCTCAAAACTTCAGTGAAGCATTTAAAACTGCTCATTGGTGTCAAGCCATGCTTGACGAATATACTGATTCGCTTCACAATAATACCTGGTCATTGGTCCTATTGACATTTGCTACCAATATAATTGGTTCCAAGTGGTTTTACAAAATCAAATAGAGGTCCGATGGTTCATTAGAACGTTACATGGCATGTCTTGTTAGCGATTTAGTAAAAAACTTGGCATTGATTATGATGAAACTTATAGTCCGGCAGTAAAACACACTACAATCCGGACAATCCTATTACTTGCTTTGTCCCGTAATTGACCAGTTCATCAACATGACGTCAAGAATGGATTTTTGCATGGTTCATTGACTGAAACCGTTTACATGAAACAACCCAATGGCTTTGTCCACCCGCACTATTCTCATCATGTCTGTTGGTTAAATAAAGCAATTTATAAGCACCACGTGCCTGGTTTCAGCATTTCACTGGTTTTTCCTATCAGCAAGGTTTTTGCTATAGTCAATTTGATTCTTCAATGTTCATTTTTCAAACCGCCACAAACATGATAATTCTCATTTGAGTAATGCTATGCTGATCAAATTTTTGAACCAAATTAAGAGCTCAAATGACATGGAAGCATTTTATTTGGAGTCTTTATTGGGGTTCAAATAACATGATACCAAATAAAGGAATCCAAGTCAACTGCCATGTCATTTGTTCTCTTAATTTGATCTCAAAATTTGGTCAGTGTAGCATTACTGTTCTCCTTTTATATGTCTATGACATTATTATCATGACATCCTCTCGGTCATTGTTAACTCGAGTCACAACTTTGCTCAAATCTGAGTTTTCCATGACTAATTTGGATCATGTACATTATTTCCTTGGTATTACTATCACTTCCATTTAAGATGGATTTTTTCTATCTCAATCAAAGTATACCTGGACATTTTAACCCAAAGCGGTCTATTTTATGCTAAACCAGTTAGTACATCTCTAGTCAACAAGCTTTCCCCTATTTCTTCCCCTGACCCCGTTTACTCCAACCCTTCTCATTATCACAGCTTGGTCGTGGTGCTACAGTACTTGGCCTTCACTCGTCCAGACATTGCCTTTGTTGTTCATCATGTTTGCCATTCCATCTCATGGTTGTCAAACGCATCTTGCGTTATCTCAAAAGGACGATTCACTTTGGTTTCCAACATTAGTGCCACCTACTTGACAATAAATCCTGTTCAACTCGATCACACAAAATATATTGAGATAGATATTCATTTTGTTCGTGAAAGTGTTGCTTGGGGGCAACTTAAAGTTTTACATGGGTCAACCATGAACAATTGATGGATATATTTACCAAAAGCTTACCTACATTCAAGTTTCAGGAATTAAGATCCAATCTATGAGTACTTCCATCTGCCACGTAGATTTTGAGGTCGTATTAGAGTGTTATTTTCTTGAATTGTTCAATAGGGTTATTTGTGTCAATATACACATGTACTCTTATATATATATGATAATACATCCACCCTAAAGGGTGGGAATTCAATTATTCTTAAGAAATCAATACTTAGTTAAATATAAAATGTAAGAAACATAATAGTTTTGAAAAATATGTGATGAGGGGCATAGTTGAGGGGTCTAAGTGTAATTTGCTGTTATTATATTTGGGAATGGTTTCAACCATGAGCACTTTTGACTAACGTTGCAACAAAAATCTCAATGCCTAATCATAACCATGTTTGCTTGATCACTAAACTATTCGTGCAGGTTAAGATGTAATATGTTTTTTTGCCATAAGTTGTTGGTAGTAATCTGGTTCTATTGTTTTTATGCATTGCAGTTGTCATCAGAAGGGTCAGCCCATGATGAGATAGATTTTGAGTTTTTGGGTAATTCAAGTGGCTATCCTTACACTCTTCACACCAATGTGTTCAGCCAAGGCAAGGGCAACCGAGAACAGCAATTTTTCCTATGGTTTGACCCTACAGCCGATTTCCACACCTATTCCATCCTTTGGAACCCACAACGCATCATGTAAGTAACGGAGCTCTCATATCACCTAAATATTATAATTTTTAAAAACAAACAATGCAATAGAGATCTAATTTAGAGACCTATCAGTTGTAATTTTCTATTAATGAAATCAACTTTTCATCTAATAACTACAAAAAAAATTTGTTATAGTATGTGATTACCGTAACATAAAGGGATTGAAGGGGTGCACTCCCGCGATGGACCGGTACTACAGTTAAAAAAAAAATATAGTCACAATGGTAGCACATGTTTGGTTCCCATAACGGCTCCATAATGTGATGTAACAATTGTAGTAGTAATGGCACCGTTAGAACCATTGCATTTGTGAGTTTTTTTTGTTTTGGTATGAATAAAAAACTTGAAATCGCTATTTCTCTAATCTTTTTTTTTTGTAGGAAACTCATCACTCTTATTTAAAAACTTTTGCAGATTAAATTTATGTCCATAAAAGTACTGAAAATGAGAATATTGTGAGCGTTTATATGTATTAGCAGTTTGATAAGTTTATTTAAAATGATGAAGTGTTTAATACCATAAGATTCATTATTAATCACTAGTAGCTTAAATTTCTATGATTTCGGATTCATATATAAAAAATTTGAAGGGGAATGAATATAAAAAAAAAAATTTACATATTTGATTTCTGTTTCTATTTTGCAAAATCCATTTGGAATCAAGTCAATTGCATCAGTGGAGTTGCAATTTTTCGTTTACGTTGCTTCTAGTTCTAATAGCATGCTGCTAGCTTAATTGACATGTGTTTTTCCTTTGTTTCAGCTTCTTTGTTGATAATACACCCATCAGAGAATTCAAGAATGCAGAGTCAAGAGGAGTACCATTCCTAAAAAACCAACCGATGAGGATATACTCCAGTCTCTGGAACGCTGACGAGTGGGCCACTCAAGGCGGTCGAGTCAAGACGGACTGGACTCTATCTCCATTCACGGCCTCATACAGAAACTTCAGTGCCAATGCTTGCATTTGGTCTTCTGGAGCATCTTCTTGCAGTTCAAGTTCTTCATCTTCAACCTCTGGCACCAGGGCATGGTTCAGACAAGGGCTAGATGCAAAAAGTCGGGTGAAGTTGAGATGGGTGCAAAAGAACTACATGATTTATAACTACTGCACGGACACAATGAGATTTCCAGAAGGTATAGCTCCAGAATGCGGTATGAATTAGAGAAAGTGAAATGATATATGCTTTTTCTTTTTTTAGGCTATTATCTGTGGCCATGCCATTTTTTTGACTCTTTTTTTATGTAACCTTACACAGAACAATTTTTTTATTCTTTTTCATACTTGTTTCTGAATAAGTAAAGGAGACCAAATTAACATTGGGTTTTTTTGAATGTGGGTACAATTTTTTAGATTATTTAAGCAAAAGTGTATGGATAAATTATTTATTCCATCAAATATAATTTTTATAAAAAAATTTGTGTTTAAGTACAAAATTCAAAATGAATTAAAATTATTTTTACCTAAACACTTTTCCTTAATTTATGCAGTCATCATTGACAGTTATTTGAGGAAACAAATATGTAAAAATTAACAATAATAATGGGAGATAAAATAGGAGTTTTAGAGAGCAAGAGAGAGCAAAAACAATGTATTTCGTGCTAGAAGATGAAAATGAAAATGAAGCTGAAAGAGTATGGGTGCAAATATGCAGTTTATTTCACTTTAAACTTTATATATCGACTCATGTCACCAACCTTACTTCTACGTCATCTGACTAAAAGGAATAAAGTCTTTTACTATGATGATTCATCAAACCCTAAATTTTCCCTAAAAAAAAAAAAAAAAAGAGAATAGATCAAGATGTTTTGTTAGATATTATGTATTGTTCGTTGTTGGAATGTAGGAAAAAAAAAACTTCTTAGTTTTTTATAATAGGTGTGACTGTTTTTTAATATGTATAACTATTTTTTTAATAGGTGAAACTATTTTTTTAATAGGTGTAACTGTTTTTTAATTTGTGTAACTATTTTTTTAATGAGTGTAATTATTTTTTAATTACTGTAACTGTTTATTTAGTGTGTGTAACAATCACAGTCTCATGTTTACAACTCGTAGTTTCCAAGTTTGATCACCTTGAGATGATGTAAGGACCTTCCCAATTAGGACCCAATTTTTCATGAGATGGGTCCTTCCTTGTAAGCGAGAGCTTTCTAAGTACTAAATCTCCGACTTTGAAACTCCTGTGTTTGACCCTTCTGTCGTAGTATTTTGCTGTCTTCATCTGATAATTCTTAATACGATGTAGAGCTATGTCTCTCTTTTCATCCCGGAGATGGTGTAACAGTGCCGCAATATTAAATGGTGTAATTATTTAGTTTATGTAAACAACTGAATGACAAATTGAGTTGATATCACAATTTTGTGTAATTATTTTGTGTAACTGTTTAGTTTATTAGAACACATGAATAATTATTTAGTATATTGTATGACAATTGTAACTGATTGATATAACTGTGTTATTGTAATATTAATATAAATAGAGTAAGAGAAAATAGGGAGAAAGAGAGAGAGAGAGATAAATTGTTAGAAAAAATATGCCCCTATTTTATCTCTCATTACTTGATTGTAGCCAAAAAAAAAAAAAACAAAACAAAAGAATACAAAAGGGTTTCATCCATATGTTGTTTACAGATGACAATAGTGACATTTTTAAAAAATATGCACTTTACCTCAAATAAGTTTTTAACTTATATTTTTGTCCAAATAAGTATAAAAAATTGTACCGGCTTTTAAATTTTCCATTAACATTTGACACAATGCGACATTAATCGCAACACTCTAGTGGCCTTTGAGCCCGATTTAGAACTTAAAACTAAAATTTTATAAAGTTCTCATAATTGACAAATTAAAACTCAAATAATTTAATCTCAATTCATCTTACACCCCAACTATCCACCACCCATTAACCTAATTGCTATCATCACCACCACCACCCTATCATCACCGCCAACTCCATTATCCCTCCCAATTACTATCACCACCATAATGATCAACATCACTCCACCACAACCACCACTTACCTATCTCAATTATCCTTGACCATCCTTAACTACCACCTCAACAGCCCATCGCCACCACCATCACAACCTCACCATGGTCGCTTGATCGTTGCCCCCACCAACCAACCACCCCACCACCACCTTGCCACAACTACCAACCACCATTGTTAAAATTCAAATAAGATGAATAAAGAGAGAAATAATAACAGCAATATCACAAAGGAAATAACGTGATTCTATCCATAGGTCGATGCCTACGGCACAAAAAATCCAAAGTACTACAATTTTATTTAATATCTATATAATAGAACATATAGTAACTTGAATTTTTATCTCTTATATATTTTTCTCCCTAAAAATATCACATCGCTCATTTCTATTACATGTTCAATCATATTGTAGTTTAACATAATTTTTATTTTAAACATTATCCATATGAGATAATATACATATGTTAAAAAAATTTATTATAATGAGATCAATTTTTTGAGCGCTCGATTTTTATGTTTCATCGTGCTTTGAAGAACGGGTTATGACTAGTTGATGAATAATACGCGTGAGATACACCCATATATAATGCGACAAGTACCATTATATCCCATAATCATGGCAATAGACATAAATCAACATATCAAATTATGCCATTAAAGGGTCCGACTACAGTACAGAAAATAGCTTTTCGGTATGGTACCGAAAAAAGGGAATGAACGGTTCACAACTGATGAAAAACTTCCACCGTTGATCAAACCTGTTACTTTTTACCGGCTACCCACTTACCCTTAAAAAATGGTATTTTCATTAAAAAAAACAGAAGAGGATCTTTTCATTAAAAAAAAAAATCGCTCAACTAGAAGAAGAAGGAGAAAGATCAATGAAGTAAGAAAATTGTTTTTATCCTATGAGATTATAAAATCATTGTCATTTATTAAAACTAAGATTGAGATTATAGTAAATTTATTTTAAAAAAAAAAATTCAGACGACGAAGATGAAGGAGAAAGAAGATGAAGTTGCAGAATTGTCCAATAAATTTAGCTTGTCCAATAAATTTCACTTATATCCCAAAATTATCACATTTTTTCAATTTATTCATCATATTTTTCATATTATACCTTGAACTATGTAATTGGTTTCAATAGCCCAATTTTTTTACCTATTTTAATTTAACACCAAAGGTGTAACAAATATGATATGTTTGATATAATTTATTTAGCGTGAAAAACATGTAGTTGCAGAATTATTTTTATCCCTATGAGATTATAAAATCATCATCATCATTTATTAAAACTAAGATTGAGATTATAGTAAATTCATAAAATAAAAAAAACTCACACGATGAAGAAGATGGAGTTACAAAATTGTTTTTGTCCATATGAATCATTTATGAGATTTTAAATCATCATCATTTATTAGTTAAAACTAAGGTTGAAATTATAGTAACCTTATATGTAAAAAAAAAAATACACATTTTTTATTAACATTCACTTTTTTGGTAAAGATTACATTTTTTTTGTTAAGAGTACAACTTTTTTTGTTAAGATTACCACTCTTTTGGTTAACAGTACCATTTTTTTGGTTAACATTAATACTACTTTTTTTGGTTAATATTACCACCAATTATGAGTACCATTTTTTTTGTTAACAATATCACTGTTTTGGTTAACAGTACTACTGTTTTGGATAATATTATCACTTTTTTTGGTAAGCATTACCACTTTTTTGGTAAGCATTAGTACTATTTTGATTAAGAGTACCACTTTTTTGGATAATATTATCATTGTTTTCGTTAAAATTACCACTATTTTGGTTACAGTATCACTATTTTTGTTAAAAATACTACCTTTTTTGTGAACATTACCACTGTTTTAGTTAAGAGTACCATTTTTTTGGTTCATATTACACATTTTTTGGTTATCATTACAACTTTTTTTAGTTAATAGTACCACTTTTTTTGGTTAATATTACCACTATTTTGATTATGATCAACACTTTTTTGGTTAATATTACCATTTTTTTGTTTAACAATACTACTGTTTGGTTAAGAGTACAACTTTTTTGGTTAAAATTACCACTATTTTGGTTAAGAGTACCACTGTTTTGGATAATATTACTATTTTTTTAGTTAATCTTACCATTGTTTTGGTTAAGAGTACCATGTTTTGAATAATATTACAATTTTTTTGGTTAAGAATACCACTTTTTAGGTATGCATTACCACTATTTTGGTTAAGAGTATCACCGTTTTGGTTAATAGTACCACTTTTTTGGTTAATTTACAACTGTTTTGATTATGAGTGTTAACATTACCACTATTTTGGACAATATTGCCACTATTTTTGTTAGGATTATCACTCTTTTGATTAACAATAACACTGTTTTCGTTAAGAGTATCACTTGTTTGGTAAACATTACCACTGTTTTGGTTAAGAGTACCACTTTTTTGGTTAAGATTACAACTTTTTTGGTTAACATTACAACTTTTTTTAGTTAATAGTACCACTTGTTTGGTTAATATTACCACTATTTTGATTATGAGTACCATTTTTTTGGTTAATATTACCATTTTTTTTGCATAAGAGTACCATGTTTTGGATAATATTACCATTTTTTTGGTTAAGAATACCACTTTTTAGGTAAACATTACCATTTTTTTGGTTAAAAGTACCACTATTTTGGTTAATAGTATCACTTTTTTGGTTAATATTACCACTGTTTTGATTATGAGTACAATTTTTTTGGTTAACATTACCACTATTTTGGTTAAGAGTATCACTGTTTGGATAATATTGCCACTGTTTTTGTTAAGATTATCATTCTTTTGGTTAACAGTACCATATTTTGGATAATATTATCACTTTTCTGGTTAACGTTACTACTGTTTTAGTTAAGAGTACCACTATTTTGATAATATTACATTTTTTTGGTTAATCTTACCACTGTTTTGGTTAAGCGTACCACTGTTTTGGTTACATTAACACAATTTTGGTTAATTTGGTTAAGAGTGCCGTTGCTTGGATAATATTACCATTGTTTGGTTAAGATTAATTGTCATTACTTTCGTTAAGATTAATACTTTTTTTGGTTAAAGTACCATTTTTTTGGATAATATTGCCACTGTTGGTTGACATTATCATTTTTTAGGCTAAGACCACTTTTTGGTTAACATTATATTTTTTGGTTAACATTAATTAGGTTAACATTACCAATCTGTCAGTTAAA